GGTAAAATACTATATATGCACATACTGTAGTGTGATTATAAGCATAGAATTCCTTCATCATACAGTGGCCTACACATCCATCAAATAAAATCATATTCACATAGGCTTCCAGACATGCATTTATATTTCTGAAAACACATCTATTGTGCTAGACTTAATGTCAAATATATGTGTTGTAATACCCAGTTGTGCAAAGAATGTATGAGCAATTCAAATCAAAAAGGGCTTTCAGGAGAGGTTTTATTTTGTACAAGCTTTAGGTCAAGTTATATAATTCACATGTTCTACAGAAATATAGTTCAGTACTATTATTATTGAAATAAATGTACATTCAGAACCTCTTGACTACGTACCAGAGACGTTATAAATGTATGTGCTTGTGTGTGTGCTCGTGTCAGTGTGTGTTTGTGCAGCATTTGGTGGTGTTTCTTCATGCAAAGCGAACAGCAGTATTTATATCTGTGCGGGGAGTATTGCTTAAGACTAAACTACAGCAGTAGTACAAACTAAAACAGGGTCAAGCTGTCAGTTTGTCTTTGGAATATAGACTGATCTATGGTTTTTACAATCATCACGACCTAAACCAAGCAAACGCACCCATTTAACCCACTGCGTGACCCTGATGATCATTACAGTAACGCACAAGCAACTACAGCTCTACGTGTCAGCTGGTGGTTTACTACAGCCTAACACATGCCTAGATTTACAAAACTAGCACAGTATGCCTGATGAGAATCAACGAATAAAGCGAATGACTGAGAACAAACGAGCTGCCTGCCCGGGCAGTCGCGAGAGACCTGACATCTGAATATTATTAGTACTCAATACCAAATATTGTAAACATAATACAGCATTAATTCGGCACATTGAAATATCAGTCACCATGGGCAGTCTATACACATGTACAGGCTAATCAGTACGGTTACATAGGATCAAGAAATAATGAATGGGAGAGAAAAAAATTCAAGTTATAACACAAGACCTCCATTGACATATATATATGCACATTGATGATGTTATTTTGTGTAACGTCACATATTATGTATAAGAACACCAGCCTGAAAGGCAAAACACTGCTTTGTAGTATTGACTGCTATTTAAATTGATCCAGGTTTGTAATACAGTAGATACTAATGTTGCACATCAGTGATAATAAAAGAACAAAATATATCATTCATTCACTTTCTTTTCAGCTTAGTCCCTTTATTAATCAGGGGTAGCCACAGCGGAATGAATTGCCAACTTAACCAGCACATGTTTTACGCAGCGGATGTCCTTCCAGCCACAACCCAAAACTAGGAAACACTCTTGCATTCACACTCACTAATGACAATTTAATTTATTCAATTCAGCTTTAGCGCTTGTCTTTGGACTGTGGGGGAAAACGGAGCACCCGGAGGGAACCCACGCGAATCCGGGGAGAATATGCAAACTCCACACTTAAATGCTAACTGACCCAGCCGAGGCTAGGACCAGTGACTTTCATGCTGTGAGGCGACAGCACTTCCTACTGCGCCACCAAGTAGCCTACTGTGTGATTATTTTTATTTATATTATTATTATTATTATTATTGTGGTTTTTAAAGTGCCAGTACCTGCTAATTTGCGATTTCTGATTCACCAAGCACCACGGTTTCAACTAAAAAATGTTTAACGTTCCACAGAAGAAAAAAGACCCTTAATCTTGGCCCGAGGTCAATTAAATGAGCAAATGCCCTGATGTCAAAACAACATTAAAAACATGTTTAAAAAATGCCAATTGATATGATGTCAATTGACTATCTAAATCAGGGGTTCCCAAACTCGCGACCCCCAATATCCTCAGAGATGGTTATAAATACAGAAACCTTGGTAGCAATGGCGTGCATACACACCAATAGACCCAAGTCTATTCTTTGTTTGATTTTTTTATGTATGTTAGTGCTGTGAATGGGCCAGAAAGTTTAACCTGGTGTTATAAAATCAATCTGCTGCATCTGATGCAATTGCTGTGTCTCCAATAAAATGTAATTACCTGAGAAGTCGCAATCCAATAGAACTAGTAACTATAAGCTACCGTAGTAACTATATAGTAACTATAAATGATAATTTCTTTCTCTTCAGTAGGTTATGGATAATATATTGTAATTCTTATGGTTTAATAAACATAAATAGATTTTTGGAAATCCCCAGGTGACCCCTCTTTATTGTCCCACTACCCCTCAGGGGGTCCCGACCCCCACTTCGAGAACCACTGATCTAAGTGACATCAAGTTGATTTCTAACACTAACAGTAATACATTTTTTATTTATTTTTTTTTTTTTGATGCCAATGTTGATGTCAATTTGATGACATTTTGACAGCAATGTGGTTTAGATACATAGTAGGGATACAAAGATCAGTGTAAATTTGTGATTGAAGTTTTCAAATAAAATCAGTTTTTATATTATAATATTTTTGTTTGTTATTTCGTTATTTTGGTGGTCAATAGTGCATCAATGTATGAATGTCATATGGATGTCAAGGTTCTGACATCAAATTAATTAGTATTTAAGATGTGTTTTTTTATGTCAATGTCAGTTTGATGTCGTTTTGACATTAAGGTGTCTGCTGGGATTATAAAAAAAAAGAATTATTTTGCTTAATGATATAAGAGAGCGTGTTCATATTCAGGGTTCACCTGCTGCATTTATGTTCTATTGACTATCAAATTAAAATTGATCTAAACTGATTATTGCGGTCTTATTACACTACAATTTTTTTTTTGGAGATTAATATATTGAGCATGCGCTGTATGTGAATTATATGTCCAAAAGTTGCAATCTGTTTACATTTAGTTGTTTTTCTTCTAGAAGTTTTCAAAAATTGACACGTCTGTAGTTTATGAATGTTTTGCCTTCCAGTCACATGAGTGAAAACTACAAATTGGGCCTTACAAACACACCAAATGCATCACTTAAGTAAAAATCAGTAATAAATAGAACCAACAAAATTAATATGATGATAATAAGAATGTACATATGAAGTAATCTGCTTCCCTCTTCAGATGAGATCACATTGAGCAGTAGACAAAAGGCTTTGGGAGTCTGTGCTGCAGCTCTTGGTGGACTCGTGATTGTCTGTGAGAAACATCAGCAGTTGAGCTGTTTACATTCAGGTTTATTTACGCCCCAATTATACGGGACAAAAAAACACAAATTATAAAAAAAATTAGCTGATGCTGAGAATTGATTATGTAAAAGATGAACCAGTAAAATATCTGCCACAGGGCTCATTTGCTTAAAAACATCAAACTTTGTTTATCTGTAACAGGAATAAGAATTAATGTACTTGGAGTGGGCAGTGGCAAAGTGTACGCTGTAAGAAAGATTATTTTAGAGTATTACATTTAAATCGCATACTTCTGTGCTTGGGAAGTGAGTTATGCAAAATATGTCAATTAATAACTTGTAAATTTTTTATCTGGTAGTTGTTAAAAAAATAATACATTTAAAATTCACTAATGTTACAAAAGTTTGGAGTCAGTACAATTAAAAAAAAATTTGATTAAAAAAAAAAAATATATATATATATATATATAAAGTGATAGTGGAAAATTTTCTCATGATGGGCAAGCTGAATTTTCAGATGCATTCAAGAATCACGATTCTCCAGAAATCATTTTAATATGCAAGTTTCAAGCTCAATTATCCATAGATTTTTTTGGATTAATGTTTTCCATTATTATTTATTGAACAGAAAGTTTAAATGAACAGTATCTATTTGCAATACATTTTTTTTGTAATGGTACATGTCTTTAGCATCACTTTTGATCATAATAATGCTTTTTTAAGAAAAAAAGTCTGACCCCAAACCTTTAAACAATAGTGTGGATTTATTGCAGGAGTGTCCAAACTCCATCCTGGACGGCCAGTGTCCTGCATAGTTTAGCTCCAACTTCCTTCAACACACTTGCCTTGAAATAGCTTGATTAGCTGATTCAGGTATGTTTAATTGGGGTTGGAACTAAAACATGCAGGACACCAGCCCTCCAGGACCGAGTTTAGACACTCGTGATTTATAGTCACAAATGACCTATAAATCATGCTTCTGTCTCTATAGGAAAAAAACAAGCAAAAAGCCATTATATAATACATTAGAATTGTTAAAAATGCAGAAACTAAAATGTGCTTTGATTTTCCAATATTTTGCTCTTAACTGTGGAATAAGATGACCTCCCTCAAAAACCCACCACAACACTCCAATCAATCACTCTGTCCTCTGGAGCCCAAATCAATCAATTCTACTTCAGACGACTCTTCAGGCCTCTCTAATATCACTCTTGTTTGGCACACAGAAATGAATTTAACTGCAAGAGGCAAACAAAAATAATAGCAATACAAAGCAAGGAACCACTTGTTAAACTTTGCACAGAAACCATCGGATTGATGATTTCAAATAAGACAAATACAGAGCTGCAAAATATATCAATGGACATATTTTGCATTGGATTGCAAAGTACAAAGAAGTAGCAATACAATATCAGATTTGTTGAAAATCTGTCATTTTGTTTGTTTGTGGTTCGATAAAATCAGCTTTAAATCCTGTAAATGTCTCATTTTGAGGGAGTTTGTGCTGGTTAGTCAAATTGACTATTATCTCATCTCATAAGGTGTTATTTTAAATTGTACATTTGTGGCAGATATAGTTCCTCTTAATATTAAAGTTATTTTTCAAAATCAATCAATATTTCATAACTCTGTTTCTGACCCCAAACTGTGCTTTTAAACTACATTTTAATTGTGCCTACCAGGATATTTCCGTGTGCTTTTCTCACCAAAATATGTATTGCCTCCACTCTTAAAACACTGCTGGTCTTTCTGTGAAGTTATATACACAATATTGCACCAAAAACATACCTTGCCATCAAATTTGGGGAGACAACAGGTGGGAGAATGCGATAGAATGTATATATGAATGATTTTCCACCATAATATAAAAACAAAAGGGATGACTCTCCACAACCAGTGACTCCAATTTCTTGAACTGCTTGTTTTTTTCCTCCATTCTCTCTTCAGAGTTGTGCTGAGAGAAGGAGGACGTGAGAAGCTGGTCTGGATGTATATGATGCTGATTTGGCTGCCAGCACGTTATTCCTGGATTTGTTTGGGTATCGTGTGTGTTGAGAGAGCAGCAGGAGTGAAAAGGGAAAGATGGATCCACACAATGCCTTTCTTTTCCTCTGAGCCAGCGTTACTCAAAGCGCTCATAGTTTCGAGTTTGTCTTACTCGTGGTATCATGTCAACCAATAGCCTGCAGGTGAAAGCAACAAAAAATATCAAACTTGGCCAATTTGGGTTTAAAATATGGACAAACTCATCCAATGAAACAGCATTTTGAGGAAAATAGAAACTGTATGTTCTCAATTTTTAAAGACAGTCAAAATAAATTCACTTACTTGACTCCATAAGCTTGAATGACGAGTCCAATCAGGATCCCGATGGTTCCGTCCAGGTACCAGACGTTGGGATAATGTCTGAACACCTCGGCACTGATGAGGATGGAAAAGCCCATGATGCCTCCAACCATAGAGTTAAAGCCTTCAGAAAAAAGAAAAAGAGGAAATACAGTGCTCAGCATATGGGTACACCCCAATATTCTGATCCATTTCTCAGTGAATATAAACAATGTATTTTGGTGCATTTAAACCAAACAGATTTATTAAACAGATATATTTATTAAAATATTTCAGTTGCATATTTAAAAATTGAAAGATAATACAATTAAATTCAAGCAAAATAATGCAAAAAAACTAAATTCACACAAAATTTTTCTTTCTTTTTTTTTTTTTTTGCTTCACTATATTTTTCCACGTTTTAAAATTTGTATTTAATATTTTTCTATAGCTTATAAATTTGAGTGTACTAGTTTTTGGAGCGTTATTGTAAGTTACTTTGTTAGATAAGCTCCAGATCTGATTTCAGTATTGACTAACTTAATGTATATGCCCAAATATAATATTGTACAGCTTCCTAAAAAAATATGAATTTAAAAGTAAATTTGTGAAGGGTGTACTTATGTATGCTGAGCACTATATAATAATGTTTTTAATGTTACTATGACCTGTATTACTGTGACTTGTATCTTTATGACTTATTTATTTGTTGTTTAGAAAATGCAGTTTGTAACAACTTTAAAAAAAAAAAAAAAAAAAATATTGGCACCAGTGGCATAGTGGTTAGTGTGATGACACATGGTGCTTATGGTGACCCGAGTTCAATTCCCGCCCTTTCCTTCCCCTTTTTTTTGCTGTCCTGTCAATAATCTCTACTGTCCTATCCTTTAAAGGTGAAAACCTTGAAAAAAAGAGTTATATGAAATAAAAAATACTAGTGCATAAACTATATCATAAAAGAAAAGAAGCTTATTGATTAACAAAATGAAATAAATACTGAAAAGTAGAAATACAAAAATGACAAAAAAACTTAAATAAAATGTAATAAAGACTAAATAATATGATAATAGGAATGCATTAAATTTTCAACATTTTTGGCTTAAAAAAGGCTATGCTGCACCCGTACTGCCCAGCAGTATTCCGGATGCGGACAGCACTAAACTGCACTACGATACGTATTCAATTCAATGGCTTGCATTGCCACAACACAGCTTGCTGCTGTACCAACAAAAGCTCAAGAGGATCAGAGAGCACCATTAGTTAGCTTGAACAAGCACTGCAGACAAAGATCAAATTAGCTCAATAGTCTGCTCTCTGAATATTCCACTCATGTACCCAAATTCTTATGTAAGCATGTCTCCCTCATGCTCATCGGATAAGTCCATTCAGATAACGTGCCAACAGGACAATTCTATGTAGTACACTTTTTCCTGCTGCTTGCAATAGCGTTATTGTGATGGCATGGCAAGGCAGCCAAAATGCAGCCTCTTGATTGGGATATTACTCCCCGTTTATGTGTAGTTCACTGGTGATCTGGGACTTTTAGCCAGGACAGATTACTGTGCATATTTTAGATTTATGACAATAATTCTTTTTTTTAAATGTAATGTTTTTTAAAGAAAAGTTTTGTTGAATTAAAAAGTGCACCAAACACTATATTTTCCTTGTTTTGACACATTAAAAATGTATGGCTAAGAAATACTTATTTGGTGTGGTCAGAGATAAATTTGGTAAATCCTTAATTTTGAGCCCTGAAAAGTCATGTGAAATAAAAACTGATCGCATTGTGACACAACCCATTTGCTCATTCACACTGAGCAAGCCAATACACAATACACACAAGAAGTTAAATGAATTAGAAGGCGTATGGACATAACACAACATCTAAATCAAGTAATTTTAGCATGTCAAAGTCAAATTTATGCATAAAAATATATTTTCCCAACAAGAAAAGTGTGGCTAGTGAAAATGGCGAGTGGCTAGTAATGTTTGAAATCTACTAGCCACAGTGGCTGGTGATCAAAAAAGTTAATGTCAAGCCCTGGGTGGGTCAATAGCCCAACGTTCAACCCCCAACCTGGAGGACCAGGACATACACACTATGAGCAATTCAGCTCACTCAATTCAGCTCTAGTGCATGGCTTTGGACTGTGGGGGAAACTGGAGCACCCAGAAGAAACCTACGCGAACATAGGGAGAACATGCAAAATTCACACAGAACGGACTCAGCCAGGGCTCGAACCAGCGACCTTCTTGCTGTGAGACGACAGCGCTCCCCACTGTCCCACTGTGCCACCCCTATTGAGTGAACTATCTTACAAAATTATGTTATAATTATTTCAATGCATTTTTTTGGTTTTCAGGAAACAGCAACCACAATTTCTGGTTTCAGTTTTGGCTCAGAATTTTCATTTAGGTGCATCCCTAAAACCTATTAATTATCTATACAATATGAATAAATGCTATACAGTAACTATATAAACTATTTATATAAAAGTCAGGTAGTATCATAGTATCATGATGATGTGAGCTAACAACCTGAGCGGAAGAAAAAACCCTAATATGATGCGCTCATTACCTGTGTGTGTGTGTGTGTGTGTGTGTGTGTGTGTGTGTGTGTGTGTGTGTGTGTGTGTGTGTGTGTGTGTGATTGTGTGTGAGTGCGTGTGTTTGTGTAATACCGTCAGTGATTAGGGCTCTGCTGGTCAAAATCCTTCCCAGCATGAACTTGGCAACAGCAAGAATGACACACATGAGGCCACTGACGATAGAAACGCTGAACAGAAAGTCATCCTGCAGGAGAGACAGACAGAAGAAATGATGCACTGAAAATACCAACGTGGAGACATTCAGTAATATAAATAGATCTTTCGAGTGTGCATCTGTAAGGTGACAGAGATGAAGTGCGGCTCATTTTAGGCACGAGTGAAAAGTAGCCAATTTAGTATTTATTAAGGAACCGAAAAAAGCCTGGCATGATTGAAGACTTTATTAGATTAGACTAAACTAGGTACCCTGAAAAGTCACAAAAATGGATTTATGCGGGCTTTAAATACATAGAAAAGCTTTCAAAGACTGTGAAACACGAACATGTTTATATCAAAATTAAGATATACATTATTTTAGAAATAAGATGGTTTAAATAAGTCATGAACTGAGAACCCAAAATTCCCTTGATTCTGTGGCATAAGTGCTCAAAGTAAAAAGCTAACACCTTGTAAGATTCAGAGCTCAAATTATGGTATACATTTTCTGATTAATTATTTAAATAAAGCTCTCAGTGTTGGGTAGCGGCTAAAAGGGCATTCGCTGCTTAAAACATATGCTGGATAAGTTGGCGGTTCATTCCGCTGTGGCAACCCCAGATTAATAAAGGAAATAAGCCAAAACAAAATGAGTGAATGAATTTAAATAAAAAAACTGATTTGACTAAAAGATTTAACAGTTTAATCACATAGACTTTGCTTGTTTCATTACTTGAATGAATAAGCATTTAAGAGCAAAACTCTTAAGTAAAGGATTCAATGACAAATTTTTGTAGCTACATTATGTGACAATACAAGAACTAAAGGCTGAAGCTGTTTCATAAGCATACATGTCAACTGCTCTATCTAGGTCAACGCAGATCTGAATGATGACTGTGATCTGACTTCTCAAAGGCGTTCCAGACACAGTCAAATCATTGTCAAAGAAAACATGGTTTTTTAATCAAAATTGTGATCTTTTGCAGCTCTAACTTACATAGTCATTGCAATTGCTAACAGAATTAATATAATTTAACAATAAAAGACATGACAAGAAGAAAAAACAAATACAAATGAACACTGACGATCTCTGAACCCTTTAAAGCATCAAGAATAATAGATTAAATGTAAGTGTTGTAAACAGTTGAAATGAAAAAAATGACATTCAACAGTCTTCAGGATCAGTTTCAGGTGAATCACAGATGAACTACAGACATTTTTGTCTCTCCTGCCTTCCTCCTTTCTCTCCAAACCAAGAGCGTCTGCTTTCCACCCACACAGTAGATCCAGAAGGCATTTCTCCAGCATTTCCAATAACGTAGAGCTTCATCTCTGAGTAACAGCTAAGATACGATGACTGTGTTTAAATTTACACTTTCATCAACTGACTAGTTAAGACTGGCAGTCTGGATGAACTGGACCACAATGTTTTCTGTGAGGAGTATGAGAATATGGACAGGCAAGGTTTAATGAATGTGAGAAAGGAGACTCAGGGCAACAAAATGAAAAAAGAAAAGAGCAGCACATTAAAGAAGGTGAAAACCCATTCCCGGTGTAGCAGGAGAGGCCTGACAGAGGAAATGGCTTTCAACCAGCACAAATCCATCACTAAAGCTCCAGCACTGATCCTTCATTAGCACTTATGAGGCAAAACAAGGCTTGAATTGCAAAATAAATTAAACAGATTGCATCTGGGATGACAGTTAATCTTACAACAGATCAGCTTGTCAGGGAAGACTTCACATTGTCTAGTGACTTCATATCATGTAATCAATTATATAAATATATAAAACACACACACACACACACAATTGAAAAGAGGAGTTTAAAAAAGCATGTAAAAAAATTTAGAAAACTGTCTATATGCTTACTGTACAGCTTAATAATAAGTCAGCATAGAAAACAAATGGCACTTATCATTATAATTATTATAATTATTATTTATATACAATTTTAAGTATTTATTCATATTTTAAATTAGATTCACTATATTGAATATGACTATAAACTTTAATAATTATGTTGTAGAATTTTTGTGCATGTGTTTAGCTTTAATTTAGTGCAAGTGATATTGATAGTTCAATTTAAACTTACTTTATTTCAGTTTTTGCTTTTATTGTAATGTTAATATTTCATTTAACTTCAGCTTTATTTTCATTCATCTCAATTTAATTTGTTTATAAAATGTTAATATAGTTTTAAATAACAATAGTTATTTATAGTGTATAAAAAATACCAGTGCTTGGTGTAAGTCGTTTATTCCACTCCAGGTTTTATTTAATAATTTGTCAGGATTTTAATCCTTTGCTCAAATTTTCAACAAAAAGAACGTTCGAGGTTACAGAAGTAACCCTTCGTTCCCCGAGGAGGGGAACGGAAGTGCTATATAGTGGATTTTGTCTTGGGAAAATCCACGTATGGGAAGATTCAGATCAGAAGCCGCTTGTCTGAAGAGTATTGAATGGGCCAATGAATTAAATAAATTGGCAGCGTAAGCTTGCGCAGGTGTGCTGCATTGCCAATTATCCCAGCATATAAGCACACCTGGAGCGAGCAAACGCCATCCTTTTAAGCTGAAGAGACTTTTTAAACAGCTAAGGGACAGTCATTATTGCAACGGAGTACAGCACTTCCGTTTCCCTCCTCGGGGAACGAAGGGTTACTTCTGTAACCTCGAACGATCTTGGGAAAATCCACGTATGGGAGAACTATGGAAAACGCCATAATGACTGCACCTTACCAACGCCCCCGATAACGGGATAGTCAAGCAAGCGTGACGCACCCACATCATGGGAGGCGCGGTCCTCCAACGTGTCCCTGGCCCTAATTTATCCTACTTCAACAGAAGTCTTACGGATTTAGATATATATTTTTGGGAAGTCGTGAGCATCTAGATAATTCTAGGAAATACGACAGTACAATGGGAAGCGTGCAATCCCGATAGGGAAGATGCTGCGGAGGCCATCCGTTACCCAAGGGGGGGATAGATGGCAGAATTTACATATGGACTAGCCCTAAAAAGGGGGAGTAAGCATAGCAAAAAGTGGTTAGCGGAGAGGGAAGACACGGGTCCACCCAGGGGGGGGACTTAACCGTGGCGGAATAAGCATATTGGATCGCCTAGTGGGGATCACGCATAGCAGGCACCTATACCCAAAACGCAGGCTGACCAGTGGGCAGACCTACAACGTAGTGGGCCAGCAAGTGACTCCTTCGCTGAGTCAGTGCTGGGGGCCACGGAGGAATTTGCAGGGCTCACCTGACGGGGAACTTTACTGACAGATAAAAGGCGCACGTATCTCCGTGTTAGGGAAAATAGCGCAGCAAGCGTGTCTCAACACCCTACCGAGTTGTTTCCTCAATCACCAAAGGGTTACCTAATACCCTTGAGGAAACCGGCACCACTCGCAGATTGTAAAACCTTGCAAATGTGTTGGGTGTCGCCCAGCCCGCAGCCCTACAGATGTCTGTTAGAGAGGCGCCGCGTGCACGCGCCCAAGAGGATGCAACGCTCCGAGTGGAGTGTGCAAGCACTCCCGGGGGACACGGCTGACCTCGACTGGAATAAGCGAGTGAAATGGCATCCACAATCCAGTGGTATAATCTTTGTTTCGATACGGCACTTCCCTGCTGCCGACCGCCATAACAGACAAAGAACTGCTCAGATGATCTAAAATTCTGAGTACGGTCCACATAAATGCGCAGAGCGTGAACTGGACAAAGTGAAGAAAGGGCTGGGTCTGCCTCCTCCGGGGGAAACGCTTGCAGGTTCACTACCTGATCTCTGAAGGGGGTGGTAGGAACCTTGGGCACGTAACCCGGGCGGGGTCTCAGGATGACGTGAGAGTAATCCGGCCTGAATTCCAGGCACGAGTCACTGACCGAAAATGCCTCCAGGTCCCTGACCCTCCAACGCGACCAGCAGAGCTGTCTTCAGGGACAGAAATCTTAGAGATACTGAATCGAGTGGCTCAAAGGGATCTGCTCGCAAACTCGTGAGAACGAGGGCGAGATCCCAAGAGGGCATAAGAGGGGGGCGAGATGGATTAATTCGCCTAGCACCCATAAGGAACCGGATGATAAGGTTATGCTTTCCCACGGTGCCGCCAGCTACCGCGTTATGATAAGTGGAGATGGCGGCCACGTAAACCTTGAGAGTGGAGGGCGACAGCCTGCTGTCCAACTTCTCTTGAAGGAAAGAGAGCAAAACACTGATCTGGCAGTTTCGGGGGTCTTCTCTGTGAGAGACGCACCATTCAGTGAACAGACTCCACTTCAGGACGAAGGCCCGCCTCGTGGATGGGGCTCTAGCCTGAGTGATGGTATTAACCATCGCAGTCGGTAGGTTACCTAAGTCTTTCTTGCGTCTAAGGACCACACGTGGAGGTTCCAAAGATCGGGGCGAGGGTGCCAGATGGTGCCCTGTCCCTGAGAGAGTAGGTCCTCTCTCAAAGGGATCCGCCAGGGGAGGGCCGTCGCGAGGAGTGAGAGCTCTGATATCCAGGTCCGGTTGGGCCAAAGGGGCGCAACTAGCAGAACCTGTTCCTCGTCCTCCCTGACCTTGCACAGAAACTGCGCGAGCAGGCTCACTGGGGAAAACGCATACTTGCGCATGCCCCGAGGCCAGCTGTGGGCCAGTGCATCCGTGCCGAGAGAGCCCTCGGTCAGGGAAAAAAACAACTGGCAATGAGCATTCTCGGGGGAAGCAAACAGATCGATCTGGGCCTCCCCGAATCGCGCCCATATCAGCTGAACAGACTCAGGGTGGAGTCTCCATTCTCCAGGGCGTAACTGCTGTCGTGAGAGCGCATCGGCTGCACGATTGAGCGTGCCTGGAACATGAATGGCGCGCAGCGATTTCAGCCGCGGGTGACTCCAGAGGAGCAGACGGCGGGCGAGCTGAGACATGCGGCGAGAGCGCATACCCCCATGCGGTTGATATAGGCTGCCGCCGCCGCACTGTCCGTCCTGACCAGCACGTGATGCCGCTCCAGCACCGGTAAAAAGCGGTGGAGAGCGAGGAACACTCCCAACAGCTCTAGGCGATTG